CTCCCCCATCGACGCCGAGACGGGCGCCGTGGTCACCGCCCGCAGCCTGGACCGCGAGACGAAGGACACCCACGTGCTGAAGGTGACCGCCGCCGACCATGGCTCCCCGCGCCGCCGCTCGGCCACCACCTATCTGACGGTGACCGTCAGCGACACCAACGACCACGAGCCGGTGTTTGAGCAGCCCGAGTACCGGGAGAGCATCCGGGAGAACCTGGAGGTGGGTTACGAGGTGCTGACCATCCGCGCCACCGACGGTGACGCCCCGGCCAACGCCAACATGCTTTACCGCTTGCTGGAGCCAGGAGCCGGCGACGGGGTCTTTGAGATCGACCCGCGCTCCGGGGTGGTCAGGACCCGAGCCCCGGTGGACCGCGAGGAGGTCTCCGAGTATCACCTGGTGGTGGAAGCCAACGACCAGGGCAAGGATCCGGGACCACGCAGCGCCACGGCCATGGTGCACATCACCGTTGAGGACGAGAACGACAACTACCCTCAGTTCAGCGAGAAGCGCTACCTGGTCCAGGTGCCGGAGGACGCCCCGGTGAACAGCCAGGTACTGCAGGTGCAGGCCACGGATCGGGACCGGGGCAGCAACGCTCAGGTGCACTACAGCATCGTGAGCGGCAACCTGAAAGGCCAGTTCTACATCCACTCTTTCTCCGGCGCCATCGACCTGATCAACCCTCTGGATTATGAGACCATCCGGGAGTACACGCTCCGGATCAAGGCCCAGGACGGGGGCAGGCCTCCCTTGATCAACTCCAGTGGCATGGTGTCGGTGCAGGTCGTGGACGTGAATGACAATGCCCCCATCTTCGTGAGCACTCCCTTCCAGGCCACGGTGCTGGAGAACGTTCCTCTGGGCTACTCGGTGCTGCACATCCAGGCTGTGGACGCTGACTCCGGGGAGAATGCCCGCCTGGAGTACAAACTCATAGAGATGGCACCCTCCGCCGGAGGTGCCCCCGTAGCGGGTGACTCCGGGTTCCCTTTTCAGATCAACAACAGCACGGGGTGGATCACGGTGGCCGCAGAGCTGGACCGAGAGACTGTGGAGAACTATCACTTCGGGGTGGAGGCCAGGGACCACGGCGTGCCAGTCATGACCTCCTCAGCCAGCGTGTCCATCACTGTCCTGGACGTGAATGACAACAACCCCACCTTCACGGAGAAGGTGTATCACCTCAGGCTGAACGAGGACGCGGCCGTGGGCAGCAGCGTCCTGACCCTGACAGCCGTGGACAGGGATGTTAACAGTGTTGTGACTTACCAGATCACCAGTGGCAACACCAGGAACCGTTTCGCCATCACCAGTCAGAGTGGAGGGGGGCTGATCACGCTGGCCTTGCCCCTGGATTACAAGCAGGAAAGGCAGTATGTGCTCACAGTCACTGCCTCTGACGGCACCCGCTTTGACACCGTCCAGGTCTTCATCAACGTCACGGATGCCAACACACACCGCCCGGTCTTCCAGAGCTCCCACTACACGGTGAGCGTCAGTGAGGACAAGCCCGTCGGCACTTCCATTGTCACCATCAGCGCCACCGATGAGGACACAGGGGAGAACGCGAGAATCACTTACATTTTGGACGATAACATCCCCCAGTTCCGCATCGACCCTGACACAGGCACCATCACCACCCTGATGGAGCTGGACTATGAGGACCAGGCCTCCTACACGTTGGCCATTACAGCCCACGACAACGGCATCCCTCAGAAGTCAGACACCACATACGTCGAGATCCTCATCCTGGATGCCAACGACAATGCGCCCCACTTCCTGCGCGACCGCTACCAGGGCTCGGTTTTCGAGGATGTGCCGCTCTCCACCAGCGTCCTGCAGCTGTCTGCCACCGACCGCGACTCAGGCCTCAATGGCCGTCTCCTCTACACGTTCCAAGGTGGTGATGACGGAGATGGAGACTTCTACATCGAACCCACTTCTGGAGTGATACGCACGCTGCGCAAGCTGGACCGTGAGAATGTGGCTGTTTACAGCCTGCGGGCCTTTGCTGTGGACAGGGGCAGCCCACCGCTGAAAGCCTCTGTGGATATCCAGGTGACTGTGCTGGACATCAACGACAACCCCCCTGTCTTTGAGAAGGACGAATTTGACATCTTTGTGGAGGAGAACAGCCCTGTGGGCTCCATTGTGGCGCGTATCAGTGCAGCCGACCCCGACGAGGGGACTAACGCACAGATCATGTACCAGATTGTAGAGGGGAACATCCCCGAGGTCTTCCAACTGGACTTGCTCAATGGAGACCTCACGGCCCTGATGGACTTGGATTATGAGAGCCGGACAGAGTACGTGATCGTGGTGCAGGCCACTTCGGCCCCTCTTGTGAGCCGAGCAACCGTGCACATCCGCCTCCTGGACCAGAACGATAACCCTCCCATGCTGCAGGACTTCCAGATCCTCTTCAATAACTATGTGACCAACAAGTCCAATAGCTTCCCCTCTGGTGTGATAGGCAAGATCCCAGCTCACGACCCGGACGTGTCTGACAGCCTGGCCTACACCTTTGTGCAAGGCAATGAATTAAACTTGCTCCTTTTGGACTCTGCCACTGGGGAACTCAAACTCAGTCGCGATCTGGACAACAACAGGCCTCTGGAAGCCCTCATGAAGGTGTCGGTCTCAGGTAAGCAAGCGTTCGAGGTTCATGGAGCGTGTAATTCTGCTTGTCAGAGCACTATGGGGGCATGGGCAGAAATAACCCACTTGGCAGTTTAGAGCACAGCTTTCAGGTTCCTGAGGCAGCAGTTTATCTGTGAGATTTTTGGAGAGGAACCACAAAAATGTATCAAGCCCACGTGTTGTGGATTGAAGTGGTGCGTTTAAGTTGTTTAGTAAACGTGGATCACAAGGGTAAATAAATACGAGTGTGCGTGGACGGGTAGATTCTCCTTCAGTTGAGGTGAGACCTTGGCTGAAGTTTTTCTGATGTGGTTGCGCAGAGGTAGTAAATAAAGTAACTTGCAAAGATGTAGGGAATGCACATGTGTCTGTAATGCCTTCTGCCCTCCCTTTTCTCTTAAAAAAAAAAAAGAGAAAAGTGGAGATAGCAGCAAAACGTGTTCATCGCCTGCTGCGCACCGGGAGGTTTGGCTGGTAGATCCTGAGACCTCAGACCAGTTCCCCACTGGTGTGGCCCGGGTGAATGTGGCGCTGGTTTGCGTTGCTGGCGTGTGTTCCTGTGGGAAATGGCGACGCTGAAAGCAAGGAGTTATGGCTGTGTAATAGCTGTGTAGCGCTGCTAATTGCGCTGGAGTTGCTTTGCTAGAGCTAGGGGCAGGTCCTGGCCAAATACAGCCCCAGCGCAGCGCTGTGGAGGGGAGAGGGAGGGGTGCTGTACCGTGAGCTTCCTCAGAGAGCTGGTGTCTCTGTGTGTGAGGACCGGTCGATGTCGTCCAGTACGTACTGCTGTATGAGCACATGCATGCTCTCAGGATACTGGTCTTTTTCTGCTAGATTGCTTGTTTATCATGGAATTAGTTTTTATGCCTCTAATTGTGGCATCAGTCATGCAATGAGTAATTTCCTCTGCAGGTGCCACTCGAGAAAGTTTACTGTGGACCTGATCCCATACCGCTGTTGACTTTCAGAGGTTTAACCAGATACATTCCTCGCTGCCTGTCTCTGCAACCTAAAGCTAATATTTGTATTCTTTCTGCAAAAAAACAGCTGAAAGTACCAGGGTACATAAAGTGACACTTTGGGAGATGCTTCATTTTGGATGATGGTATTAAAAAAATAATCATCAAAGCGTGGTATAATCCGGGCAGCAGTGGTTTTGCTGTAAGGAGTCACGGCATGCAGCAGGGCCTCGGGGGAGCAAGCTGTGCTCTGCCTCGTGCTTGCAGGCTGGAGGTCCTGCTTGCTTCAGGAGAATGAAAGTGATGTTAACTGAGCTGACTGAATTTACTGCCGTGTATCCCCTGACAAACCACTCCTGTTTCTTCCAAAATGCTGGGGGGCAGCTAATGTGGTAAGGTAGCTCGTAAATGCCCTGTCCATCTCCTGTGAGGACTTACAGAAATAACAGGCGGTTGGCTTGTGACCTTAAAGAAAAACATTTGGATTAAGGTGCAGGTGATTGCGTGGTCATTGTCTGTCTGAACCAGTAGCTCTTTATCAGTAGCAGAAGATAAGAACTCAACTTGGAGCGAGAAGCTTGGAAAAGGCGTTTCCTTAGACTATAGAGTGTTCAGAACAGAAAAAGACATGAGATGAAGTATTCCTTTCTCAGTCTAATGATTTACGCAGTTTAAGTGGATGAAATCTCAGGTAGGAATGGAGACCTCTGTTTTCTGAAGTAACAGGAGCTTGATTGTTCCAGCATCGTTTTCATGTTTGGTGAAGGTGTGAACTTTTGAAACTCCGCTGTGATGTTGATCAAAAGTGGCTGTCCACTGCATGTCTTGTGATATTTGAAAGATTAAAGCTTTTTATGGATAGGATTTTGAAATAGTTTTGACAAGCACTGAGCTCGATGTGACGTTAATTTGGAGAAGTTTGCTGTTTGGAAACTGAAAGGGCAGAGTTTGGCAGTGTGTGATTGCCTCCAGGAAACTCTCACCTGCCTGCGTTCTCTGCTTTGTCTGATGCTGCCTTTAAAAAAAAGACAGAGAAGGACTCAGACAGAAGTACTCCACTGGGTTATCTCTAAGTGTTGCAAAATACCTGCAAATCATCTGCTAAAATGACCTGCCAGTTAACTGAAAAACTATGTCTATGGAGTAGCCGTTAACCTCTCAACCCAGACAAACACGAAGTCCTGCCCCGCTCGCAGCTGCTCTTCGGGTTGGGGGAGGATTGGAGCTCCTTACGAACTTGGGGAATTTGATCTGTATACGAGTCGGAAGCAGCACTGCTGCTGTAAAAATCTGATTTCCACCTAGTGCTGTGTTGTGCTGCGGAGGCGTGGGAGCGTGTGCGGTGCTGGGGAGAAGCCGCGCTTACTCCATTAAATTACTTCGAGACTTTGATACTTGGCTAAAACCAGCATTCTTTCATTTGAATTGGGAATTACGCCAAAAAGCACGGTGATTTTGGCCTTCTGCACTTCAGCAGAACTTTAAGAATCATGAAAACTGAGCGGGTGGAGATAACTGGTTTTGTAAAGCCTGAGGACGGCACAGTCGGCATTTCAAACTCACTCGAGCAGCGTGAGCGTCGTCAGCAGCTACGGGGGACGGTGGGCAGCCTGGGCAGGCTCTGCCTTCGCCCCGGTGCCTGCTGGGCTGTGCCCGTCAGGAACAGGGAGGAGTGTGGGTGGTGTGGGTAATCACCTTGTGCTTTGGGTCGGGAGGGAGCTTTTGAAGTCAGTCTCTTTTGAAGTGAATCTTGCTGGGTGCCCCTCTGCCCGTGCCTGTCGTGCAGAGCCGTCTGAGTGCTCAAACCGGACCTCTTTTGCATGAAACTAATCCAGATGTGCTCCAGGGGTCCCTTACAAAGAAACATTCTGCTTTTTCGGTCGTACCTTCAAGGCTTCCCTACAGGAAGGCAGAGCTTGGCGCTATATTCCCATGCCTGCACGTCGCGTCGTTGGGCTTGTGTTGTTTGAACAACTGGGGTGAAATCTGGACCCTGCTGAAATCCTGCCCTTGCTTTCCAGGAGGGCAGGGTTTTACTGGGGGCTTCTGAAACAGGTGGTCAAGAGTCGGATCAGTCTGTGATTTCTTAGCGTTACTAATAAATATATGGCTTGAATTGACAGGATCATTAAAAACGATCAGTGATGTTCAGGATGACGTTAAATTGGGATTTATTTGGTCAAAAAACGAGTTAAACGTTGCTCAAGTCACATTGCGTTTGCCCGTGTTAAACATTACCCCGCGGTGCCAGTGGGTGCTGGGCAGAGGGCTGGTGCTGGCCTCAGCTGTGCACCCACGCTGCACACGCGTGCCTGGGGATCACGTTGCAAACGCCGCTGGCACCTGCTTGGCTCTGCTGCCACGAGCAGCCCCGCTCGTCGCCAAGGACAGCTCGCTGGGTACAGGGGAGGTGTGCGCACACCCCGCTGGGAGCCCAGCCTTGTTCGCCAGCATGGACAGAACCTGGCCTGGCTGTGTGCCACAGCGTTGGAGGGCTCCGGAGCAATGTGAAATGTCGTGGGGTCACGAAGGATTTGGAGAAGGCAGTGCTCCTCAGGAGGGCTGGTTTCCGCAGGAGGGGATAGACACCCAAGCATTCTGAGGGCTGCAAGCTCAAGTATCGCCTTTTACATTTCTTTGGCTTTTAATCTCCAGTGGGATTTAGTGAGGTTATTGACTATCAGCAAATACAAATGAAGATAGAGCTAGTTTGTGCTTCAATAAACTTGGGATTTTTACTCAAGGCTTGTTGAAGGATCTTCATTATTATTGTAATTCAAAAGTCATTACGCTAATGGTTATGGATCTCCAGCTCTGTGCCTTCTGTAGCAGCAGATGCAGTACTTGGGTTTAGCCCTTCTGGTGAAGGTAAGCCCACCACTGTGCCGAGGCGCAGGACACGGGGGGTCATCTGTGTGTGAAGGAGAGCTGCGGTTCCAGGGAAGAAGGAAACTCCAGGGAGAAGGCGTCTCCGTGAGCACAGGGGCACCTTTGGGTGCGGGGGGCAAGCGCTCGGGGTGCGGCCAGGCACCTCGGTGGCATCGCGTGCACCCTGGCCTCCTGGCCCCGCCTTTGGGGAGCTGGGGGGATCCTCTGAGCTCCGGGGGGCAGATCTGCAGGACGGCTGGTGCTTTGGGGGGCGATGCTCCGGGCTGCCTGCGAGGGCTTGCTTTCAGGGTTGTCGAGGGGCAGCCGGCACCCAGACTGCTCTCCATGGCCCCCATCCCAGGGAAACACCATCCTGCAGGTGGCTGTGGTGGGATCCCTGTGGCTTATATGCAGTTAGGGCATGATGGGGTGGGATCCTTGTGGGTTACATGCAATTAGGAGATGATGGGGTGGGATCCCTGTGGGTTACATGCAATTAGGAGATGATGGAAATGGAAGGACGGATGCTCCTCTCTCCCTCCCTCCATCCCGTTGTGTCGGCGTGCCGCAGGGCTTTTGGACGCTCGTGTTCCCGGGGTCTTTGGCCGCTTGCATGCTGCGCTAAGGGGACAGAAAGCGGCAGCTCGAGGGCTGCAAAGACCAGGGAAGCAGCGATGAGGGACCTCGTCTGGAAAGATGGCATGGTACCACGAGCTGTGAGACTGCAGCCCAGTTGTTACTTGGCCTATTAAGTGGAGCTGAAGTGAAGGATGACCCGTAACGGTTAGCAGTGGTGGTTTTGAACGCCTGTGTTTATTTTCCTAAAATTGCAAAGCAGGAGTAGTGCCTGTCATTTTAAAGCTAAGATGGCTTCTGGATCTGCTGTGGCTGACTAAATCCATTAGTGTGCCCATACAGGTTCTGTATTGTGTTCTGTTCCATAGGTGAGATGCATTTCAGATGTGCGTCCCTCCCGCCTGCATGAATTTGACTTTCTCTCTTCAGCTGTGTGATCCGTTCCAGCCGAAGCTGCGGCTGCCGGGTTGCTTTAGTGTGTGCTTCCTTCCACTCCGTCCCTGCATTTCGTAGGAGCGGGGTGTTTTTGTTTCAAAAGACAGGAAAGTGTCTATGGCTACGCGAGGAAAATATTTAGTGGAAGGCTGACTGACAAAATAAC